GCACAAAGCTGTCTTTCGCTATAATTCATGACCGAGGCACATTCTCCGAGAACTGGCCGAATTATACCGCGACGTCGCCGTAAGAATGGAAGAGGGAAAACGACGACACGACGCACACCGCTCGGATTCTACAAAGCTACATCGCGAATAATCCATCTCGCATTGCACACCGTGTGTGTTGTGATTCATATTTTATCGAATCTCTGGAATAGCAAACAACGGTTATGAATATCTGTCGCATTCGAATAAATCTTGCATTGTATTGTCAAAAATCGCATTTTAATTCAAACACTCGATTGTCATGTCGTTTCCATTGGTGTCGTTTACGCACCCGTGTTTTTTGCACACAACAATATTTTTCGACAAGCAATTTCTAAAGCTGTTTATAAATCGGATGTTTTTCATGTCAAGTGGAGATATCGCGCGGCGCTATAGTATTTGTGAGTCAAGTAGTGGTAGCGAGTGTACATAGTCAGACCGCGTCGAGTAGCGTAGATCTTGTTACATCAGCCGGAGTCAAATAGAGACAGTTCTATCACGTTCCGATATATATCCTCCGTAATAATAATCACACATTTTTCTTCCGTTATTCTTCCATTGCTATTTTTGTTTTTCTATTTTTGTTCCAGAAACATTCTCTTCGTGTAATCGTAATTCTTCGACCAAAACGGTGTAGTTTGTGCAAATAAAGAGATTCCGGACCCTATCATAAAACAAAAAACTGTGTTACTTTTCTTGAAAAATAATTGCTTCCGAGCGTGATATTGTTTTACGTATCGCCGTAGCTTCGCACAAATCTTTTTGTAACAAAGATTGACGTTAAATCATTTTGTTGTTTTACTTTGATATTCCGCAAAAAGAGAAAAGATTACCGAGAGATAATATTTGTGTAAGAGATCTCGCAATCTGTGATAATCTCCTATCGGCGTTGCTTTACATTCGGAGTTTCGGATTTTTCGCTGTGATTCATGAAATCGCAACTAAACAAAATCTCTCGGCTGCCTCTTCCTCCGTCAGAAATCCAGGCAATTACTCGCGCGCACTGTGTTCCGGGAGAAAACAAAAGCTTACGTCACGAAATGCATCCGATAACTCACGCGGAGATCCGAGAGAGTTCGTTCCGTGCGCGCGAAAGCGCGTTATACAAAATTAATCAAACGGACGTGAACCGACCGGCGCGGCGTGTGCGAATCCTCTCTCGAAGCGAAATTAATAGCGCGTCTTGCACAATATTCCAGTTGGGTGGCGCGCAAACGAACGAATATCGACAGTATAAGTCACATTTATTCGAAGGACACTCCGCATTTGACAGGCTTCGCCTCTGTGCTCTCGTACCCCTACTGCTGATCGTGTTTGTTCGCAAGAAATACGATGCAGTCGCATGTCGCGGCTGCGAAGGAGAGAAACGCAGGAAATTAGATCACCTTGGGGTGGAGAGCGAAGGGCGTGGAAACCGATCGAAATACATGCACAATTTCACAGTGCGAGACAGTCGGACGAACAGAAACTGCATTCTAAATTCACACAACCCTCTCCTCTTCGATATAAATGCGCGGTATCGATCGTTTGATATCGAGACGTTACTACACACTACAGAATGTCTCTATATCTCGCAATATGTTATATTAATCTTATACAACATAGAAATCACTTTTTTCTAATGCGTTCATCGAGATATCGTGAGTGTATTGATCATTCTCTCGCTCCGTTCGAAAAAATACATACTTTCATGAATTATTTATATTTCCGTGATTATTTTTCGCAAGAACCGTGGAAGAATTAACGCAAATGAATAAAATTTCACTAACGTAAATGAACAAATTTTACTAATATATATATTTATTTACACGCGATATCACAATATACATTGATTGTATCGATAATTAATTAATTAACGCGGGATTGGTATTTTGGTTTCTCTAATTAAAACGCGTCAATTTATTTATAATAATCTGTAATATGTCGAAATAATTAGACCAAATAAATACGTGATTATCCCAAACGCGGTACAATATCGCATTGTCGAATCGCGCCATTGGAATGTGCATTTGCGCAATTTAATTCGAACAGAGAGACACTTTTGTGTGACAAAACTATCCGAGGCCAATTCCATTATGTCCGATAAAGTTTAGTTCCGTACGTAAGGCAAGTTCTGCTTACACCCTTTCGTATACACCGTCCCATACAAGGATTGAAATTTCACAAGCGGATAGTACTTTCGTTCTACGGAGAGAGCAACGTTAAGTCAGTCCACGTTTTTATTAGCCCGGTATATTGGACACGTAAGGCAACAAAACCAGGCAATACCATTAAGCACGAGGCTCCTAAACTTGGCAAACTCAATCCTATTGTGCTCCCCCAATTCTCGCTGCCTCTTCTCTTCCGCGGGTTAACAGTCAGGGTCGGGTCAGGAATCCCTTCTTTATTCTGGCAAGAAAAAATCACCGTCTTTTTTTATTTATAGAGACCGCAACTTCGTCTTCCTGCACTCTCGCAGGAATCGTAAACTGCCCGCGCGAATAGTAACGCGCAAGATTTCATCTCGAGGAGAATACATTGCAAAGAAGCACATGGTACAACCGAACTTACAGTTAGCATCTCTCCAATGATTGGCATTTATTTATTTTTCTAGTTGTTATCACTTTTATGGTTATTTTTTACTTAACATTATACTAGTAGAATTTGGATTTTTTTTAAGCACTATTTTTTAGAGTTCTTCGGGATTCTTGAAACAAAAATTGTCTTTAAATTGCTAATTGAGTGTTTTATCTTATCTCTCTGCGTCAATTTTTCTACAAAGTAGAAAAATCAAAGCGCAATACGGATCTCGCATTATTTCTTCTATGACCATTTGCGGAAACATTTTTCGGAATAACACGTGAGAAAATTAATGTCACCCTAAGAAAGACGCTAATTTATAAAATAATTTGATAAAATGTTATTTTTGTAATTATAAATCAATATAGTGGCTTCGAATATCGTGCAAAAGATTGCAAATGTGAGAGAAAGATATGTACGGGAAAGATATTTTTGACTTTTTGATGCGAATTTCGAACAAGCAACACGTTAACGTGTAACAACAGTGTCAATGATCTATGCACGTCGATAAGAATTTATAGCCGCGGCTTTATCGCTTTTCTCGAGAAGGAACTCCTCCTGTTCCTCCGCGATAGTCTGAATGTATTCGGACTTCAAACCGCCTTTGAATTTTTCATGATATAAAAAGACGTTGTCGGACAGCATACGAGGATAGATTGCACCTAGCGGGTCAAGAGGGTTTCGCCAGGTGCATACTTCGTGATTCGGTGGCGCGGAGCGAAACGCGCACAGCCACCAATAATACACATTTTGCACTCGAAAGAAATTTCCCTCTCTCTCTCTCTCTCTCAGCTTTATATTCTTTAAAAATTATACTACCGAAAGATTAATTTAAAGTTCAAAAATATATTGAGATTTCATTTATCACACACACACACGCGCACACAATTTTTTTCAACATTAAACACCTTTCAATCATTTTCACGTTACCGGATATCATTATTTTTCCGACGAAAGGCACTGCAACTGGCATATGTAGAGCGGATTGACGTTAGATTCACTTTAACCAGGAAATTACTGCGAATACTTGTGGCGGAAATGGCTTCTTTCAATCTCGCTTTGATCGTGTGCACATTTCTCTTAAAAAGAAAGCACAGACAATTTGCGTATTCCTTTGTGCTTTTTAAAAATTTCCGTATGTATAATAAAAAAAAAGAGATAAAAAGAGATAAAAAATTCAATAAAGTCACTTCAACAATAGTCGTAATGTAAAGTCGACTATATCGTTCACACACAAATGTGTTTAACGGTTTATTTTAAGCTAACATGACGTTTATTTATTTCTTTTCATTCGATACGTGACTTGACACTCGAGACTGCAACTTTTCTTTTGTAACTAATATAATTTTCATAAAGATTGAATTCCCAGTCGAAACGTCACCTGTGGAAGCATCTACCAAATAAAGCACTTTTACACAACAACCAACCGTGTGTAACTATTTCTCTCTGCATTAAAAAAAGATAAACCTTCGAATATTTCATGAAAATCGCGTTAGGTCGAGTTTCTCGTCAATAATTTTCAGACTTGGAAAGAGAAACGCGCGTAAATAATGAATAAATGTAATTTTCCACAAATAACTTTCTTATTTTATTATACGAAGGTAATATTGCCGTTCGATATGTGTGCCGGGATTTCGCTATTTTTCTTTCGGCAAAGAGCCGAATAGGAATATATATGGCAGCTTGTTACAGCGATATCGCACGAAATTCCCGACGATGAGCGATCTTGCGGTTGATCATTTGCACGGAACATCCGCCAAGAGAATCACGTAGCTGCCAATAGTAATGTATAAACGGATTGATCGACCGACAGGCCAATTTCACAGCGTTTCCTTTTTATTTTGCCGCCGTCGCCGGAGCTGTTCTCTCACTTGTTCTGAAATACTCGATCTCGCAAAGAGAAAGAGAGGGGACTGCCTGTGACGACGAACCCGTGTTCGCTGATTGTACGAGCCGATGTATTATTTAAAGACGCGCGCGCTTCGAGAGAAACCTGTCGTGTCGACCCGCTTCCGCAAGCACGAAGGAAATGGGAAGAGACCGCGAGACAATTTTGCAATCTCGAGCGTCGTCGACGTGTCTCCTCGCGACGTTTCCGTCAATAGTACGACACGAGAGGAATGAATATTGCGGTGGATCAATAGAGAGATAAGCGACAATATACCGATCAATCTGTTAAGCTCGCTTTAGAGCAGTTCGATATACAATCTCATCCGCATTAAAATCGAGATCGAGATGTTGTGCGCGTGGATGTGCGCGTGAAGTGTCAACTTGAACGTTCAAAAACTTAATATAATGCGAATAATTTGAATCGTTTAAATAAGCTTTTACGCGTAAGATTGTATAGCGAGAGCACACACAGTTGCTAAGATAAACACTCGCTACGCAATTAAACTACTTACATGGCGCTGCGAGTATCGGGTATGTCACGATTACTCGGAAGACCGTCGGAGGCCTCCTGATTGAATTTATTCCTCGCGTACGGGTCCTCGCCCGCCCGCAAACCGCCTCTCGAAACGTACCTGTTACACAAAGACAATTATATCATCGCTGTTTAGATTTCTCACAGTTTGAGGAAGCATCTCAAATATCTCTCGCGTCAACTTCGACCGCGCGCTACGTGTTCGAAACAAACACGTTAATGAAACACACGCAAATCACATATACACTTATCGTGAAACAATTATAACGGTATCCTCGAAACCGCTGTATAATAACGGACAACAGTGTCGAGAACGAAACATTCCGACAATAATGCGGCGGAAGCAATAATGCGCGCAATTGTCTCGGTATGTGAGGCACCGCGAGCGATAGAGAATCGCAGGTTTCAAACGGCAGAGAGTTAACGCATCAATGCTGCAGCGATGGCTGAAGATAATGGGTTCTTTCCGCCGTCGAACGTGCGCGAAATAATTAATATCGATGTGCCGACTTCTAGCAAAAGTCCGCACTGCAGGTCGCGAATCGATACAAGTACAACTTTCCGGATAAGAAGAATCGTTGAGTTTCGAGACGTGCGACAATTAACGGAGGAAGGAAGGATATGTTCCGGAGAGGAAGGATGTATGCTCGAGCGTGTAAGATATTAATTCGCGTCTGAAGTGTACTCGCGCGAAGTTGACGGTTGAGCTTGTTATACATACAGATGAAGAGGATCCCCGCTGTCTTGACTCACCCTTGTTCGTCAAAATAATTCCACGTCACTCTCGGATCCGGAGTCGGCGCCGGCAGAAGCTCGGATGACATCACAATGGCCGTCCCGTCCGGATCCACGTAACCGCCGGAATTTCCACCGGCGGAGAGCGCAAGAGACGCGGGTTCTTTCAGTCGCAGGGCTCTGTTTTCGTTTTGCTGGAAAACAAAAGAAATAATTTCTTCACTTAGAATCTCCGCGCGTATCTCGTAAAACAAAAATAAATTCGAAATTTCGAGAAAATATAATACTAATAATTTCATCAATAGATGAAATATAACACGAGAACAAATGTAAGCAGAAAATATTCTTTCTCGCTCGATAAATTAATTTTCATTAGTTCGAGAAATTCGCGACGCGCCTTCAATCGGTTTCTCTTGCGCACGTATACGTTTTGATATCACAAACCGCATCTCGTAATGTAGTTATCGTGTATCTCTTGTTCTCGACGTCAGTTTGCCGTAAGCAATTCATATCGGCAGATAGTCTCTTTGTGTCTCAAGTTCGATTCCTCATCTAGATCATTTGCGGCGTAGGAATCAATTGGAAGACGGTTCGTACTCCTACTGACACATCATCGATATATACGCAGTATTGACTTCAAATCTACTGAGGTTCTTCGCGCCGCTTCATTGTGCCTTTGTGTCGACGGATGCATCGCGCGCCGTCAATATGTAGGTCATCGAATTTCGCTCGTCAAGTTTCCGTTTCCTTTTTGGAAATAAAATAGGACATGACCTCAAACGTATACGATCGTATTCGCGAACTTACGTAAACTTAAAAAATTTACAAAAATACACAATTTTACTCTCTCAGGTTTAATAAACAAAATAGTCTCAGCGCTCTCTAAATTAGATTTATATTAAAAAAGCAATGTGCGCAACTGTTTATAATAATGAACAAATAAAATCGCGGGATCAAATAAAAGAACAGAAGAATAATGCGAATAAGACGAATCATCTTATTTCTGGAGCGTCAAGCACAGTGGAATGGACGGAGCAACCGATTATCGGAGAAATGGTAGTAAGCGTCTTATAAAACTTATGCAGAGAAAAAAAGAGGGAGAGGGAGAGAGAGAGAAAGAAAGAGAGAATAGGTGTGATAAGTGCGTCTGCAGCGGAGCCATTAATGCATTGCATTGTACGGCGAAGTGAGCAAGCAGCCGTTAATTTCATCGCGATTCTTCGTCGTCGGAAGCGACTCCGACTATCGTCCCGAATGGCAGTATTTTCCGCGTGCACAGGTCGTTAACCTTATACACCCGAGTCGAAACCTCGCGAGTGAAAACATTCAACAAAGAGGAGCAGGAATAAAAGGCAGGAATAAAACGTCACGAACGCGCAGCCGATGAAGGAGAGACGCGGCCGCGCCGCGCGAAAACTCGCAAGAGCGCAAAAAAAAAACAACATGCGGCTGCAGCGATGAAATATTAATTCACGGAGCGATGAAATATTAATTCACGGGTCACGGATTGAATTAAACCGGAAGTGCACTCGGATGGCCAGTCTGCGGCAAGCTGTTGCATCCGGTTCCACCGCGGCGACCACCGTGACGCCGAATATCCGTGATGTCGCATAAAACTCGATAAAGCACGCCCTCGCGCGATCGGTCACCGAGGGGATAAAAGCAAAAGTGACGTAAATCAATAGTTTTTTTTTTTTTGTTTCGCTTTAACCTGCATTCTCTCTCTATGCGCTATAATTTACTTACAAAATATCCAAAGTAATTTTAGTGGGTATTCGTAATACCTGTTTGCGATCTCTGTACAAGTACAATAAATATGAATATCTTTTACACGCGCAAACGTGTGTGTGTGTGTGTGTGTGTGTGATCGCGAAATTCAGTCATCATTCATATCAAATCGGAACTGACAATTTCGCGACGGTGACATATTGGCAATATTAGCACACTAATCGGCTTCCAGTTTCTCTTATCAGATTCCGATAAAGGCAATCTAATAGCATCGCGTTACAGACTTAACTGTAATGTAATACTGTTGAGAAAGATTTCGTATAGTCTGCATTAATGTTCGTAATGCAAGAAGCTTCAGCCGGGCAATCGGAAGGAACATCAGTGCGACGTTTCTTCAGTTTGTATGTTGCACGTAAAAAAAAACCGAGTAGGGGAGACTGGGGCTGGTTGTGACACGGGTAAAAAGTTACAACCTTAAATTAGCGATGAAAAATAAAATTGCAACAACGATGATGTTACTGACGCGTGTGACGCGTGACAGTTGTCGCGTTTGTCTCTTTTTAGCTTTGATGTAGCATTTATTTTTCATCACTAATCAAAGCTTGTAACTTTTTACCCGTGTCACAATCAGCCCCAGTCTCCCCTATATGAAATCACAAGTCTATGTAATATATACATACATATATATGTATATATATATCATGTGTGTAAATTTTAGAATATCAATTAAATCCAGAGAGGAGCACTTTAATATAAATAATATTCTCAATAACGTTCTATCATATTTGAATAAATAAAAACGATTACGTCCCATATTAAAAGTAACGCTATTCATCTCGCGCCAATCGATTGTTATTTTATTAATCGATAACCGAGACAAAAATACAGCGGAGATCGTTTTATCGTTCTCCGTATTCCTGGAAATAAATTTTTCTCCTCTCAATTTTATCATCGACACGGCGACAAAAGCGTCGCACGTGACTACCATAAAATGCATTGCATATGCGCCGATGCGATGATATGCGCAAGGCCGGAAGCGCTTTTTGTCAAGTACCACGACGCTCTTGGACAATGGTCGCGCGCAACACGGATCACCTGTTTGTCACCGCGAACCTCGCGGCGGAAGTACGCAAAAAAAAAAATAAAAAAAAAAAAATTGAAAAAAAGGAAAACAAAAACGAAAAAAGTCAAACAAAATATAGAAATAAATAAAACAAGAACAAGTGAGAGAAACAGAGCGCGTCGGATTGGCGGAAATCGCGGGCCGTTGCAGACACGCACAGTTTCGATTAGATTTGATTTATACCGTTTTAACGACCATTACAATTGCAGTCCTATCTGCCATCGGGGAATCGCATATAATTTAACGGTTTCTTGCTCATCCCCTTCTGTAAATAAGATTTGCACATCGCGTGTTCCGCGTACTTAGATTTTGGTGTGTTCGAAAGAAATAAAATCTTCGAAGATTGAAATCGATTTTAACGAAATAATTTTTAAAAACATTAAAAACTTTTTTTTTAAAGAAGAGCAACAAAAGAAATACCCAATTGTTGATTGACTTACATCGATTTGCTGCTGTGTAACCTTACGCGCAAGATGGAATATGCATTCGCCAAAGAACATTTCGGACTGTGTCAATTTGTCATCGTCACGAGACTTTTTTGACTTCCTCGCGATATAGTTTAAACGCAGTTCGCCGAATGAACTTCTGTCATCTTGACAGTTAGTGGATAATCACCGTCGATTTCTTACGAGAGAAACACATATCATATTTGTCGTGTGATTTTATCATTTTAGTTGCTTATCAATCTGAAATTTCAGTATCTTCGAGATGTTGCGATAGATTAATATTTCATCAATCGGTCTTTTTTCACACACACACACACAGATCTTGCGCGTGCATTATTTTCGCACATTCTAAAAATACAAAACAATGTTATCAATGCGTTTTCAATCCCCGTTGCTAATTACAATCGCCTGTTCCCGAATTATTAAGCGTGCCGAGATTTCGTCGAGCGATATAATTTCGAAGGAATTACTACGTCCGGTACGGTTTTATGATAAATGAGGAAATGGCGGATGTGTCATTCCCCGTTATTGTTTTGCGTTATCCCGCTGTGAGTCCGAAATCGACCGGCGCAATATTGCCGAAGTACGTGATTTTACGATTATTATCGACGAGGGTCGCATTATTAATGCGGTTATATTGCCGCAAAGCCACAGCATAAGTATGCTATGTAACGCGAACGTGAGTTACCTGACACACACGTGTATCATTGTTGTTAGAACGCTTTGATATAAACGCGCATGAATTAGCGAAAATGGCATCATCACGTTGCTGCTGATAACAACACGGCATTAGCGGCAATTCAGCAGAGAGATTAATATTTATTTACAACTGTTTGACTAATTGCGTAATATAGACATGATACATCATTTGAAATTTAGATCTTTCACCGGGATTTGCGATAATTATACTAGTTCAAAACGCGATATATTACAGATAATTAAAACGTGAATTGTACGTGAGAATTAACGTGTGTAGAAATATTAAGACTTAATTATAGGCGTGTGTCTACACATTTATTTTACGTTCTAAAATGATTGTTTAAAATTATAATTTGTTTTATAAATAAAAATAGGAAAGAGATATAGTAATATAATTGCATATTAGTGAGTAAAAGCGGTTATTAATATGCGGAACAGTGATGGAGTTGTGAGCACGATATGCCTTATTGCGTTTCTAATTGTAACCTGCCACTCTTTCTTATTGTCGGTTATATGCCTTTAAGCTGTGCATGATATGTTAATTCTCTATCTCTCTCTCTCTCTTTCTTCCTTTCTCTCTTTCTATCTCGACGGACGGTCGTAATAATAATTTCTCTTGAAAATCAACGAGAAATATTCTTGTGACGCATCCTCACGATTATTTCATTCACAAGGAACCAGTCTACTGTTCACGAGACTGCTTATCAGATTTCCTCGTCTGGCACATTTTGCTTTGCAAGAAACGTCTTAACTAATGCCGCCTCTTTCATGTACATTTTCACACAAACGTAACGTACTGTTCTTTATCGAATAAAACGATGAAACTTAAGAACAAGCCCAACAGCGTTAAATACGTTACAAATAAGGATTTAGTCAATTAATTAATTAACGCAAAAGTTGATTAAATATTCATAACCATTACATAGTACCTATTAGAACTAGAAGTTGTTTGTTTATTTTAAATAGCTATGTTTATGAAATATCATGAGAAAATTTGTCGCGAATAAAGTTACTTCTTTTTTTTTTTTTTTTTTTAAGACAAAAGTGAAAGAGATAAAAAAATGTCGCGAGTGATTGGAAAATGAAACAATGATGTAGCTGTCTGTCCGCAAGAAGATGTAGACCGCGAAGTGACGGCAACTGTTTTCCTGAGACACACCCTGTCGAAATTTTGTCGAGAGGGCGTGGGATTTTCT